GGACATGTAAAAGAAACAAAATTACAGTTAGTATGAAAATGCCAGGTAAATGGGAGCAAATTTCTTCATCTTTACCTTACTATCTGGTAGCCAAGCACTTTAAGCATGAAATGGAAACTTGTAGATTTGTAATTACATTCATTGGCATAGGGTTTACTATGTCAGTTCAAATAATAATTACATGAATAACTTTTTGTGAGGTTTATGGGACCTTTGTTACTATCTTTGGAGTCACAAAATCTGTCCAGGAATACGATAAACCTGACTTTGCTGTGACCATTTCACAGTAGGTTAAATGTCCAGTTGCCATATTCTTAAAGCCCAAAGCTATGTTTTCACTGACAAATTTGAGTTTGAATTATTTGGATCATTTTCTAATGTGAGCCATAAAAGCAGATAGCATAAATGCTTAAATGTGCTTTTTTGCATTTCTACAACCTAAAACCAGTTTGGTTGAAAAAAAAATAAAATTTAACAGCCTTTAATTTGTCATGTGGAATCTGATACCATGTGCATTTTATTACCTCCATATATTTATCTAAGTGAAACATAAAATGGTTGTAATAATGGAGAATTTAAAGTAGCTTTGGCACATGAGCAGTAATGCTAACTAATATGGTGAATAAGGGCTGAATGTAAATTCTCAGAATTTCTGTTTCTTGTGATATGTTTGCTAAAGTGAGTATATCTTGGATAACTGATAGAAACACACATAATCCTAATTAAGCTGTGAAGAAGTGTGATGGACATAATGTAAATACAGGGAATAATCATTTCTATACAAGCCAAAGCCTTGTGTGTGTGTGTGTATATATATATATTTTAATTTTCAAACTATAATACAGTGTACATTAAATCACAGAACCTGCCAAAATATAAACCCATTATCTCTTTGTATGCTGAGTTGAGACTCTGGTATTCTCATCTATGCATTCAGAGATAATCTATGTATGGCATATATCAGTATAATCAAATATCACCAGTTCCTATTGATTCTACCTCATTTATAGCTCTTGAATTGAACCCTTTTCCATTTCTGTTGCCATTTGGTTAGGCCTTCAATTATATTTTATATGAATTATTCCAATAACTACAGTTCTCTTAATGAGACCAGCATTTCAACCCTCCAGCCCATTTTTGTGTTTTTGCCAGGTTTGTTTGCCCATAAAACAAAGTTCACCATGTCACCCCTCTGCTAATAAACTTCTGTCAGCTTCTTCTTAATCCATAAGATCAAGTCTAAAACCATTAACTTGACTTACGTGTTCTGAAACAGACCCCACCACACTTGTTAGTCTGTATTCAGCCTACTCTTAAAATCATACAGCACTCCCAAAGGTGCACAGAACTTGTCTATTCTTCCTTCTCTGCTTGCCTTCTACTACTTATTCATTCACATGCTACCTTTTATTCTAAAGCTTGCAGGACTCTTGAGATAAAATTAGTTGAATCATTGAAGTGTGTTCCTCCTACAATAGTTGGCTCATATTTCATTTAGAAATTATATTTATTATATTTTATAATAGACCAATGTTTTTATGTTCAGCTTTATTGAGGTACAAATCACCTGAAAATTATATATATTCAAGATTTTTTTTACTATTTTTTTATTTTAGTCATTCTGATAAGTGTGGGGTGATATTTCATTGTGGTTTTAACTTGTATTTCTCTAAAAGCTAATGTTGCTGAGCATCTTTACACTTTTTTTTTTCCATCTGTATATCTATTTTGGTGAAATGTCTGTTTATGTCTTTTCTTTCTTTCTAACTAAATTGTTTGGGTTGTTTTTAGTGTCAAATCATCAGAGTTCTCTGTATATTCTAAATACTAGTCCTTTGCTATGATGCATTCATACCTTATACTACTACTCAGTGACAAAAGAAACTGTTGATACATGAAACAACTTGGATGAATCTAAGTGAGAAATTCAAATGCCAAAATTTGCTTATTATATAAGTCCACTTATATCTGTTCTTGAAATAAAAAAAAAATATATAGAACTGGATGACAGATTAGTGGTCGTCAGAGTAAAGGAGGGAGTGGGGGCAAGTGGAAGTGGATGTGGTTATAAAAGGGCAACATGAGGGAACCTAAGGGAACCTTGTGGTGATGGGAATGTTCTGCATCTTGACTGTGTCAGTGTCAGCACTGTGGTTGTCCTGTTGTACTAGTTTGCAAGATATTTTCATTGGGGGAAACTGTAATGGGCACACTGGACTCCTCTGTGTTACTTTTTACAACTGCACCTGAATTTAAAATTATCTCAAAATAATGTCTACTTATAATTTTCCAGCTTTATTAAGGTATAATTTACAAATAAAAATTGTATATATTCAAGATGTACATTATGTTTTCATATATTGTGAAATAATTATCACAGTGAAGCTAATTACATATCCATCACTTCATAAAGTAACTTTTTGTGGTGAGAATACTTAAAATCTACTTTTCTAGTTAATTTCAAATATATAATACATTATTTTCCCCCTTGCTACCATACATTAATTATAGCCATCATACTGTACATTAGGTCTCCAAAACTTACTCATCTTATAACTGTAAGTTTGTATCCTTTGACCAACATTTCCTTATTTCTCCCCATCCTTGACCCCTGATAACCATAGTTGTACTCTTTGCTTCTATGTATTTGACTTTTTTTTTATTCTGCATATAAGTGAGATCATGCAAGATTTGTCTTTATGTTCTGGTTCCTTCACTTAGCATAAGGTCCAAGAAGTTCATCTATGTTGCAACAAATGGCAGGATCTCCTTTTTTAAGGCTGAATAATATTCTGGGGGGTGTGTATGTGTGTGTGTGCATGTGTGTGTACATATATCCATTGACAGACTCTTAGGTTGTTCATTCATCTTGGTGATTGTGAATAATGCTTCAATGAACATAGGAGTGCAGACACTTCTTTGAGGTACTGATTTCATTTCTTTGGGGTATATATACAGAAGAGAGATTGCTGGATCATATGGTGGTTCTATTTTTTAATTTTTTTAGAAAACTTAGTACTGTTTTTCATAATGGCTATAGAAATTTATATTCTCACTAACAGTATACAAATGTTCCCTTTTCTCCACACCCTTGCCAGTACTTGTTATCTGAGGTGTTTTTGAAAACAGCCATCCTAACAAAACAAGAGGTGATATCTACTTGTGGTTTTGAGACAGTATAGGGAAGAGACTCAGTCCTGGCAAATAATGGACATAATAACCAAGATCCCAGTGAGCCTCACATGTCCAGGCATACTCCCTCCACTACCTTCCTGCCTCCCTTAACAAACTGATATGCCTATAAATTTATAACATTCTGAGCTCCTTGAGGACAAAGGTAACTGCATTTATATTTGTATCTTTAGTGCTTAACACAGTGAATGTTCTCATTAAACTTTTGTTGAATGAATGAATGAATCCTGGAAGATCTGGAGAAAAGAATAACACAAAAATGTTATTAGGAAGTTGCTGAATATAGAAAGACTATTCCAACAGTCATAACGTATTCATTAAGAATGTCTTCAGACCTCTTTGTATAAACCAATCTTTTTCTCACCATCTACAGAATGATATGTTTTTCATCAGAATGATAAATCTCAATAGTAAAATATTTTAATTTTACATGACTTCAGTGTATAAATTTACAAAATAATATCAATTCTATAAAATAGACATTTACATTAATTTAATATAGACGCATATGTAGATACAGGCCCATAGATCTTGTCATTAAATGTTTACCTCCCACCGATCTCACTAGCTATCATCTATTTACATCTGCTCACATATATGAAATCAGGCCATAAACTAAGTCAAATATTCTCTAGAAAAGATTAAAGATTCATGGTGCTAGAATACTATGAAACTTATACTGACCTTCAGATTACTGGCCTGATTATGACTGATTCATGAAGGGATTGTGAATTTTGTAAGCAAATAAAACCTTGTGAGAGCCTAAACATTACTGACTATGTTTAGATAGATAATATAACATTACTTTGTATTTTATAATTTTATATCAGAGAACTCTGCATAATAATAAGCACTCTATTGGGTTTAACATAGCATAATAATAAGCACTCTATTAGGTTTAATGTCATTTTCCGAACCAATAATAGGCTTGAATTAAGCAGTAAGGCCCTTGCCAAATGTCTTTTTAATTGTCAAAATGTTTTACATTCTAATGTAAGAAGCAGATATCAATATTTATAAGTCAAACAGAATACTTCAATTTGATATGAGAGACATACTCGAATACCATAACAAAAACTTCTTTGTTTCATTTCTATGTGTGAAAATGTCTGTCACTTACATGTATTGTCTTCTAATTGAGGGCATGATCACTATTAGAATTATGTATAATCAAATATTGCATTTTTTCACAAGAACAAAGTTTCAAATCCAATACTAGATAATATAAAAATCGATTTGACCTTTGTAAAATTACATTCAGTGATAACAAATTTAATTACCTCATATAAAAAGCCAAAAATATCATCAAGTCATAGAAGAAAATAAATTTTGAGTCTTTTACTTTAAGATTAAATACTGAAATTATTTTAATTATATTTTCTTTGCAACTTTTATTGATATAATATTATATTCTTAGTTTTTTTATTCTATATTAGTTCTTGAAAAAACTAAAAATACTTTATGCTGTATCATAATTTCCCACTATTGCACACTCTTCACTTGTTGCCTAAGAACAAGCTAAGAATCAGGAGCATTAAAACCATTTTTTAAAATGTGATGAACCAATAAAAAATTAAAGGTGCACTTGAGTCTGCTAGATCAACACATTCTTATAATCCCCTCAAGGCCATCATACAGTTTGGCATCAACATTAAAGCTTTGAAAATTATATGACCATCTATTACATTTTAGATGTCACATGTCCTCAGACCTTTTCTATTATAACACAAGACAGAGTTACACCATTTTTTAAAAGATTCCTCTGTTATTGATAGTTGTCTAAGGTGCTTCTTCCTTTTCTTTTTCAGAATGAAGAATAAATTTTGGTATTTTGAGTTTGGCACATCTGAAACTTTCTCAGCCACCTGCAAGAAGCTACATGAATCTGTAGAAATAGAAGTAAGAAAAAAATGAATTCTCTTTTGTAATACAATGAAATGGCTTGAGCTTGGTTGTTAGTATGTTTGCATTGGAGCCCATGGAATGAAATATATATTAGCAATCCACAGAGACTTACTCAAGATTTTAAATTGTCATTTCTTTCACTCATTTGGAATATAGCACTATCTGACATATTAAAGTTAAGTGTAGATATGGGTTGTTTTATGATAGTACAAAAGAATGAGAAGTGGAACACAACTTTGGAAATCGATGCAGTTGTTACTGGGCATAGTGCAGCTAGAAAGGTGTAAGATAAAAGCAGCTGAAAAGAAAAAAGTTGCAGAATACATAAAAAATATTATTTTCGGGTCTCAATATCGTATAACCTTTAAAACACAGTTTGCTAAAATTGTACTTACTTTTATGAATAAAGGTTAAAAAGTATACTTTTCCATTCCATTCCCATTCATTAACTAGGTTTTCTCAGTTCCCAAGGTTGCCATTTCCCCATTACATTTATAGAAAGTGGAAATGCCAAGAAAGAGAGCAAAGATAGCAAGAAAAGACACATTTTAAAAAGACTTGGAGCAAATAGGTCTATAAAAAAAAAGACACTGTAGGACTCAAAATTTTGGAGAAATATTATAAAAGAAAATGACTGCGTTATATTGAGAGATTTTTAGGGGTCAAAGAAAAAAGAAAAGTTGTATCTTGATAAATGATAAAGACAAAACCAGAAGAACAGAATTATGAAACATGAACACTTAATGACTAGTTGATATAAATTAAGAAACATTGGCTTCAACGCTTTTCATTTTAAAAATAAATGCAAAAATTTGCTACTGATACTTAAATCATTAGTTGCTTATATTCAGGTAATAAGTTTGGTAAACAGAAGTAGTTATGGACCACATAATGGCCTGACTGGGTTCTTCATTATCCTTACTTTCCAATTTGCTGTTATTAATAATACTACTACTCTCAGTGTAACCTTTTAGTACTTTTATCTCATCATGATTGGTAAATATAATTAAGTATTAGAATTGATGGTCACTGAATGGGAACAAACCCTTCATAACGGGATCAGATCATAACCTTTGAAAGGAACATAATAACAGAGGTGAAGGATTTCGGTTCAACATGGACTTTCTGTTATTACTATTTAGGATGATATATCTGTGTATATGTATGATATATGTACACATATAACTGTATACAAAAATGATATATATAACACATATATAACTATATACATGTATATCTATGTAACTATATATGTACTACAGTTACATATTTAGTTATATATTATATATGACATATAACTACATAGTTAAGTATTTAGTATATATAGTTATGTGTTATATGTATTGTTATATACATATAAATATTTATGTGTATATATATTCAATAAAATATATACATTCCCCCTTTACTCTGAGAATCATTATTTTTTTAAAAACCTGCTTTATATACTAGATTTTGAGTATTTCTTAACCTCAAAAATTATGCTCAAATACAATTTGCAGCAGAAGCTGAAAAGTTTTAGAAAAATTAGAAGTATGGCTTTGGTTGAATGTACGTGGAGATCCTGAATCCTCCTGCACCTCCCTTTACTTTATTCTACCCTTGAGCACAGACTGAAAAGCCGTTGATCTATAAAATAAGATTCTATGTGTCACAAAGTAAAAAAACAAACAAACAAAAATCTTTAAGTGTTGTATTTACAGCAAAATATTTTGAATGAAAATACATTTGAAAATGGTGATTTGTAATGTGATAAATAATGATAAAATTAAGTGGTTTTGATCCACAGAGCTTGAGATCTTAAACTATTTAGAATGTTCTCCAAGAAATCTGGGCCTATAGAACTAAGTTATGTTTCTTGGAGTGCTGTTTCCACTTACTCTCTCAGCCTGGCCTTCTAGCTCTGCATCCCTGGCTTATTTTGGGTGCTATTACGTAATATTTATAAATCACAGCTGGCACTGTGTGCATGCCCCCTTGTATTTTTGCATATCTTGGGGGTGTGTGTGTGTGTGTGTGTGTGTGTGTGTGTATGTATGAATAGCAAGGCAAAATCTGCTTCTCTGCTCACTTTTTAATGAATCCTGTCTATCATATTAGCAGAATATGCCTTTCTACCCTTAAGGTTAGTTTATAATTAAATATAACAAAAACAGCAATTCGAAGATTTGATTCTGTTTGTTGTTGCTTCCTATTTGTCCTAAAATTATACCTACTATGGTTTGAAAAATATATAACAGAATAAACTACTTCAGTAAAAACAGAACCTCCAGCAATAGATACATGTTTTATAGGCAGCTTTTTCAAAATCAAACTCTCTTTTGTGTGTCTTTTTTATTTAATATTTCTCTTTCACATATGAGTTCCTTCGAAAGAGGGCAAACATTTGGGTTGATATGAATATCATGGAATAACAGTTAAGATTTACCTATTATTAACTGCTTCACAGGTGATGCTAAACAATGCACATATATTATTTGATTTAGTCTTCATCAAAACCTTATGATACGATTATATCTCCATTGCAGAGATAAACATTTTCTTCAGTAATTTAAGAGAAATAAGAATTATGTTGCTGCCACAATCTTTAAATCTAATGAGCAAACTGATTGAAAAATATATATATTTACACATATATGTAGAGTTAATGATACATAAAGTAGAATTTTTTAAAGATATTCATTTATCTTCTAACTTTATTACAAAAGATAAAAACAAATTTTTTAAAGTTACAAGAAAATATTTTAAAACCGATGTTTATATTAAAGTATTTGGGTGGGGGTGAAATGTGTGCCTAAGAAACTCAGGTCAGCATTTGGAATTGAAGATACAGAGTTCATGAATGTTTAGTTTGCTCAGGGTACTGGGGAAAGTTAATGAGAGAATAAGAAAGCCTATTCTATAGATATTTCAGTCTTTTGGTTGATGGGGAGACTGGGAAAGATGGTAAATTTTAAAGCCAAGAATTTCCATCCCAAAATACTGATTTATTATAATTATTAAATACCCCTAGAAACCTAAATGATCTCGAGAATTAATAAATGGCATGAGTAGCATCAAAAACACAAAATAAATTAGCAGAATTCAAAAGACAATTGCTCAGTAACCTGGAAAACAGAGTTCTTAAGGCAATAGCCAGAATTCTCAAGCACAGTCTCTGCCCCATGTGTCCTAATACCGAAATTACCTATAAAATAATGTTTTAGGTTTCATCGAGTAAAAATAGAAATTTTTATCTGATATAGACATAGAATCAGACCCACTATGGAAAAAAATTACAGTTTATCATTAATTGTATCTCATCACATTTACCATCCATACTCCAAAGTTCTTCACATGTTTTAAATAGTCCTATCAACTGACATGTTAAGTGGATCTGAGACACTAAAGTCACATATAAAGCTTGTTTTTAACACCTCTGTACAATGTGACTCAGGACTCATTTATTCATGGATTAAAACACATTGGCAGAAAAACTGAAACTGTCTTCTTTTCTTTTAGATAAATTTGTCTCTGGAATAAGATCTTCCATTTTAAAACTGAAAAGAGTGGACAATGGCATCACAGCCTTGCACTCTATAAAAAGCTCCCATAGTACTATATGTTAACGACCTTTTTTCTACCTAATAAAAATACTCAGGATTTATTGACTAACTGAGGCTGTTAGCTTTTAAGCTTTTATATTCTTTTCCTCTGTAGCTACCTTTTTAAAAGTCATAAATCTCAAAGGGAATGAAAATATTATCTGACACAGTACTATAACTTGTTTATATTTCATAGCCTTCACCTCAGCTTTTATTTTCATGCACTCAACTGGTGTGCTACAATTACTGGTCTCCATCAGAACCAGCACTGAAATTTTCCAGACTAATGAACATAACGTTAAAGCAAACAGAGGAAGGTAGCCTGGGGTCAAGAACAAGTGGAAACAAATCATTAATAAATAGCAATTTATTTAAGTACATTGTCCTGCTCTCAAAGGAATGTCAATGTTCTTCATCAGTCCTTGTTCTTTGCGACTCTTTCAGAATTTTTTTTTCACTTCTCAGAGAGCTACTTACTCTGTTTCCCTAAAACTAAACATGACAAGACTCTGAAGAGTGAAAACATGAATAATGGCATACACTGATGTTTTCCAATTGTCACATGTAACTCAGCTGGTTCTTTTTTTTTTTTTTTTTAAAAGAAGCCTCTTTGCAACATGCTCTCCTTTTCTGCAGATGAACAAAGGAATCCTCCTTCACTAATTCTGAAAGTAACTTGTCACAGTGGGGTTCTAAGGCCTAGTCAAATAATTGTCTTAGTGTACTACCTGCTGTGTTCAATATTGAGTGAAAATGGAAGCCAGGCCCCAACTCCAGCTTATTTCATGATTCTTCTGTTATTTAAATGATTTTAGTCAGTTTGGGGGAAGCCAGACCTTTATAAATTAACAGCAGGGAAATACCAAAGGTGTCAGATTGCATATTTATCATCTTTTTCGTGTAATACTTAAATATGTATTAAGAAGTGACTGACATAAATTAGGCAGATTTCAGAAGCCACAGGCCGTGGCTTGTAGAGGACCCCCTTCTGCTTGACATTTCATCCTTGTCAAAGATCAAATTATTTTAATTTAGGCTGCAAATTATAAGGAATGAAGACTTCTTTGTGGGAATTCCCTGTGGTAATCTGACTTTTGTTGTTACTGCTGCTTGTCAGTGTGCAAAAGATATAATATGCATGCAAATAAGGTTAAAAAATATGTACTATCTAATTATCCAGCCAGTACATTCCACTTGAAGACAGTGGGAGGCCTGACACACAGTATGTGTTTGATTCATTGAGGCCTGCAGGGTATTTACACAAGATTACTTTTAATTATGAAATTAATATCTGTTTATCTAGAATATATAGCGGTAAGTGAGTATACACATGACCAGAATTCTTTAGTAAAAAGAAATCATCTTAATTTAGCACAAGAAAAGGAGGAAAAAAGCACTGCTTTCTGGGGGGGGGGAAAAAAAGCATCATCCAGATCTTGGTTTCGCCCTCATTGAAACAAATTAAATGAAAACTTGGCACTTTCTCTAGAATTTGTTTCTACCCCTGCCAAGGAGTCTCAAGATGTGTTTCTTTATTTCACAGTTTTTATTTTTCGGTGAACAAGATGCAATCCTAGCTTCAGTATGATGAGGCGAATGTGGAAAAAGAGAGGGCTTTTTTTGTTTTGTTTTGTTTATTTTTCATCATTTTCATGGAACGCTGTGTCTTCTGAGTTCAAAAATCATGACTGCCATGAGAAATGATGAAGTTAGTGTCAATAGCTTTTTCTGTACTAAGACATGGCAAATGAAATAATGCCACTGCAAATATATTTCAGTTTAGGAAAAAAAACAAAGTGCTTTTATCTCTTTTCATATTCACTTATAATTGAAAATGGGATAATTTCTAGAATGTATAATAATAACTAGCATTTTAGAGAAGACAAATGAATAAATAGTAATTTTAAAAATACAGAATAGTTTTGTCACTGTCCACATATGTCCATTAGTGGAAATGAATGGAAAATCCAAAAAACTAAAAAGTGACCGCTCTGAATATAACAAAACATTGTTAGTGAATTTTACATTTTTCATAATCACCAGGGTGTTTTGTCACTAGGAATTTAAGAAAAATTGGGCTGATTAACCTTCTTCCTTTTTAAACCTATTTTTGCAGCAGCTATAAAATCATGCTGGATTGAAGGTCTTTTAACTGCTACTCCTATTTCCCTCACTCAATCTGCCCGGTCCTCCATATTCATTTGGACAACTGTGCCTCTCATGGCCTTTGACATCTGCTTAGGACTTCATCTAGTCCAAGAAGTCATCCTTGGTAAATTCAGTGTGATTGAAATCTCTTAGAATCACTGTTTTGAATTTTACTTTTTTTTTTTTAAACAAAAGTATTTTAAGCTACTTCTTTCTCTGCCCCAAAGGTGTGAGACCAGGAGGCATCAATTTTGTTTCTTTACTTTCCCCCAATAGTACCTTGCAGTGTGTTCTAAATAGGGGCAGTCATCACAATTTCTTCCTAAAATTTGACCATAGTTTCCAGAATTAACCTTTGTGTAATACATTAGAAACCTGCAGCTGGTCAAATATATATGCAGATACTAACAAGTCTCTCCCAAAGGTTTTCTACAAACAAAGATATACTGGTGACTTAATTTGATCATTTTTAAGGACTACTAGAGATAACTGGTTAATGTTAGGGGTTATTTCATCTTTTATATTGACTCAGGGTAAGCGTTTAACTGTTCTTGAAAGCCTTGTGCGGAAATGACAACATTATGGATTTCAATGCTCTTATTAAAAGATAAGGAAATGAAAAAGAAGAAATTAGGGAAATAAAGATAAAATATTTTACTGTTTCTGTTTCTTTCTTTTTATCCATCAGTGTGATGGAGTACAGATAGATTTAATAAACATCTCTCTGGAAGGAATTGCTATTTTGAATATACCAAGCATGCATGGAGGATCCAATCTTTGGGGAGAGTCTAAGAAAAGACGAAGCCATCGACGAATAGAGAAAAAAGGGTCTGACAAAAGGACCACCGTCACAGATGCCAAAGAGTTGAAGTTTGCAAGTCAAGGTCAGTTTTCTAACAATTAATTGTTAAATTGCTTGTTAACCTGCTTTCAAAGTCTTCTTTAAAAGTAAAGAGTTTTCCATTGCACTATAGTAATATATATATTTTTACAGTTGTATTTTTGATATTATGAGATACCCATGTGTGATTAACTTATATCACAATAGATTATAACTCAAGTATAAATTGGCTACATTTTTCATTATTCTTTGTATACAGCTGTTCCCACAGAAAATAAAATACATTTGGGGTATTTCATGGATAATAAAATAGAAGATATTGTACATTAAGCTCTTCTGAAATGTGATTGTCTTAAATAGGACATTTGAGTTGCTAGAATAAGGACCTAGTTAAGGCTTTTCTAAGGTTGTGTTATAAGAGATTTTGTTCTTTTATGCTTTGGTCAGGCTATGAGATTGAAGGTATTTTACATAGCTGTTGTTCTAAGTACCACATATAACAGAATGTTTAAATATCCCATGATAAATTTTGGTTGTCTGCTGAATTTTTCCAGAAAGTTAGTAACAAGTAGGAGAGCTGGGAAACAGAGAGCAAAGACCTAAAAAAATAGACTATACTAACTATGGGTCAGAATTTTCAACTCTATTATAATATAGTTCTCATTGGGACATGATAGCTAATTCTTAAAGATTTTATAAACTAAGATATCAGTGTGATATTCTGATAACCAATCATGTCCCAATAGTTTACGTATATAATTCTACAATATCATTTTTACCTTCTAGAATTTACCTAATACTATTGATGACACTGAGAAATCAAAACATGTTGTCTCAGCTCAGTGTACCAAGGACAAAATATGAAGATTTCAGTGTTAATAGACTAATATAAATAAATTACTAAAAAATGAAATAGAATAAAGTGAGAAAATGGTTGGTAGGCTTTATGGTGGTGGGCAATAGCTTTATGTTTTGGTGTCTTTGAGTACCTGGTTCAAGTTTCAGTAACAGGCAGTGACTTCTGTTATATAAAATTTGGTACCATGAAAGTGAAAAAGATTGATGGAGAAAGTGTTAGGTATTCTCTTGAAAGAAATGCTTATCACAGCCTGCCAATGACAGGTGGTTTTGATGCCCTTAAAATGTGTAAGCAATCTTGGAGAACTGTATTAGTACAAGCAAGTTTATAACAAATCACTTAAAAATTATATACTCAAAATATAACTATGAAAATATGGAGGAAAATAATATTTTGAAGGAGAAATATAGAGAAAAAATGAGAGGTTTGTGCTATATGCATTAGAGGAGGAAAATAAACATAATTATTAGTTTCTAGAAGTTACTGACATTAATTCATATTTGTATTTAAATATACATTTAAATATAAAATTAGATTTCTTAAAAGGGTAGTGAAAAATTCTAAGTATTGGAATTAGCTTAAGGATCATACTAAGACCAAACTTAAAAAACTCTTTTGTAATCGTGTAGGCTGTATTATTAGGTACCACATATGTACTCCTTGCTTCCTTCCTTAAAACTATTTTTACTAAATAATATATACAAAATAATTTCCAGGTTAAGTTTTCTGTTTGGTCACTACATCCCAATACTTGTTGGTATGTCATTCTACACATTCCTGATACTTATACAAATTGATTCTCAATGGCTCAGCTGCCAACTACATTCACCGAGTTACCAAACATTTCTTAGATACACGACTGTGCTTCACCCAAACATATGTCTGTACATTCTGGAGCTGCTGCATACATGTCATTTACCTGGGCTCACTCACCCTCCTTTGTATGATTTTTTTCAGGAACACACATTTAGAATAAACTACAGACAAACCAGACTCAAATATTGTCATAGGCTGTCAGCGCCTGTAACTATTGGAAAAGCGCTCTCTTCCCTTTCTGTCTTCTTTCTTTCTACTGTAGAACTATTAGAACCAATTTCCCATAAATACTGGGAAATGAGGAAGTGGGAATATATAGGCCTGGTGACTCAGTAATACATTTTTCTCAGTACACAGATGGGAAAAAGTTAAAAAACAGTAGAGCTCAGAGAGGTTTCAAAGGTCATTATATGAGCAAAAACAGAAGTATGGTAGGCTCAATTTTTGTTCCCTGACTTAACTGACTAGCTTATAGTTTTGATTTAGTATTATTTCAGGATAAATATAATCTCAGAACTAAGAATGACCTTTTGAGTTGATCATTTTTTTAAAACCTGTAATATATTAGTCTTTTCTTTTTAGCGATTTCAGTATTGTTTTCACTTTGAGATATTTTGCAACAGAATACCAAAAGTATCTCAGAATGCTTCTAAGTTTTGATTTCATATTTATTCTGCTAATTCTTCAATGTTATACTTAATAGCCAAAAACAAAATTTGCTACTGAGTTAGTCACATTTACCCCTTTCCTAAATAGTAATATTTCTATCACTTGATTTTGTTTTCAATTTCTTGACACAAAAACAGCGATAGGGCAGGCATGGTGGCTCACACATGCAATCCTCACACTTTGGGAGGCCAAGGTAGGAGGATCACTTGAAGCCGGGAGTTCAAGCCCAGCCTAGGCAACATACTGGGAAAGGAGGAAGTGGAATAGCACCTAGTGGGTAGCACAGGCCTACAGTCCCAACTACTCAGAAGGCTGAGGAGGGACAATCCCTTGACCCCAGGAGTTCAATACTGCAGTGAGCTATAATTGAGCCATTACACTTCAGCCTGGACAATGAAGCAAGGACTCTGTCTCTAAAAAAAAAAAAAACAAAACAAAACAAAACAACAACAACAACAAAAAGCAATAGTATTAAATGTGAGGATCAATTAGTATTTCAAATTTAAATGTATTTCAAACTCACACAAAATTATTGTAAGCACTGACTTTAGAATGAATATGGCCAATATGGCTCTAGTCCAACTCATTTTTAACTTACAATAAAATTAATAACTTTCACTGTTAGAAAATACATGAAATGAAATGAAAAACTTAATAATGTAATTTTCTTCTTGTTCTTTCTTAAAATATTAACTGACACTGTTTCTCATATGCCTCTGTAAAAAATCATCAGAAGTTTCAACTAAATTTTTACACTGTTGAAATAGATACATGCTTTCATAAACTTTAGATAGTTTCTTTTGGAAGGGGAGAAAATGGGGGAAGCATATAACTAAATTCATGTAATAAATGTACTTATTTTATTTAATAAAAGGATTTAATTTGTTTTAAGTTTACTCTTTTAATTTAAAGAAGTATCATAGTCCAAAGGTATGAGATCAGGTTTGGATCATTAAGTCCGCATTTATACTAAACCATACATAATCTGGGACTTATGCATAATTTATTTGCTTGCAATCTTTGAAGACACTCACATAATAAAATCAGAATATCTTCAATAAGTTCATTGGTTGGAAATTTTACTGTTTACTTTAGAGTTGACAAAATTATAAGTAATTCATTTAATTACATTATTCCAGCAAAATATTCTAAAATAGTTGGATGCAATTCTGAAACATATTCACATTCACACTCAACTAATGCAGTAGACATTTTCTTTCTGTGCATATGTGACTGTAAATACAAATAAATGTATTATATGTAGATGGCACAGTCTTGAAGCAAAACTGTAAACTAGGCCAAATTAGTCTTCAGTTCTCTTAGCCCTAACATTCGATCTTTCTCATGTCTTTCAGTGGCTGAGTTCATCTTTTTCTCCCCCTCTTCTGAATTAAACTCAGAAAGATGTCTAATAAATTCATTCACATTAATGTATAAATGACTGATTGCAGATGAAAGTAGAGGTATTTGCATTTTAAAAGATATAAAGGCCTTCAGCTAAAACATTATTTTTCAAACTGTATTCCACTGAGTTATAACTGCAATTCTTCAGCAGTTCTGTAATAAATGTAACAAAAAATTCATTGCCAGATTTTGGGACAATAAAAAAAATCTATAATAAAAATATATTTATCATATTAACAGTTATCAAATCATTAACTTGTGTTACTAGACAAAAACAACTTCTCCTCCTTCTCTTCCTCCTCTTTTTTCTCTCTATATAGGTAGATGAATATATAGATAGTTATACATACCCATACACACACACATATATATATGCATATAAAGAAATGAATAACTGGCATTCACTGGAAAGTCTGTCGATCTGCAATGGACATTTAAAAATATGTTTCTGCACATTTCGTGAGAAATACTGTGCAAAGGGGCACATTAGCGCTACAGTGCATGGGAACCACATGCAATTAAAAGGCCAGCAAATTCAGCTACTTTGGCATGGCACAAGCACCAAACAACATATGGCAATCAGTGTACATGAAAACAAAGTGACAATACCTAAATGAAAATGTAGACCACCATAAGATGTGTTTTTCTTCATAAAGAAATTGTATCAGTTAACGAACTCCCCCAAATATTAATAATTTTATACTGGCTTATATATCAAGCACACTTTTATCAGAGAAGATTTAAACATGCTCACAACTGCATGTAAGGAGCCAGCAAATGACATTGGAGCATTTCAGGTATGTACGCAGAATAAAATAAATTTGACTAATTGAGGCTTTGCAGTTCAATTCAATTCAATGACACAGCAAGTATCATTATGTCATGAATTTGTTTTGTCGAAGGTGAAAAATTCTGTTAAAAAGATACTTTTGAAAAGTATGTTTTAACCAAGAGTGAGGACCTCTGGAGGAATATGAATCAATTTAGTTATTCTAATTGATTTAGCTTTGAAGATCCAAGTCCAACTATTCCAGTTTTCGGTAGTGGAAACAGAATGGTTCGATATGGCTGAGAAGCAACACATTCATACTATTTAATTATATATATGTGTGTATCAGGATATTGCCAATACCACTAAACCAAAACAAAGTGCAGGAATCTATGAAAAATAAGATATTATCGCATTGCAATTGTCTTCATCAAAATAGATCCATATTCTCACAGACTGTGGGTTTTTTGTTGTTGTTTGTTTGTTTGCTTTGTTTTGTTTTGAGACGGAGTCTCACTCTGTTGCC